CTACATTATAGAAAGAGGAATAGGAGAGATATATATAGTATTATACCTCAACATGTGAAAGTTCACTAGAAGAACATGAGATTTAAAAATTACCAATTCCAGATCAGCATTGGAAAAAAGGATTAAAGAAGAAATTTACAGAAATCAAAGCCCTTTTAAGATCCAAAATAATAGAATAAATCACATAAATATTGAAATCTGAGAAGAATCTATTATCAGAAAAAATATTAAAGAAAGCATATATCAAGATTATCTGATAGCTATACTTCAACGTAATCTTGAATCTAAAGAAAAACTAATCTTTTATTCTAATGTATTACTTATTAATCATGATAAAGAAGAAATGAAGATAAGAGTAGCTTGGATTTAGATCGGTAAAGATGGAAAGAAAAGCAGGTTTCAAATAGGAGTAGACAAATGATCCTCATTTATAAAAGTGAAATTGATAGCAATTATAACAATACTCCTAGTAGTTCCAATTAAAAGCATAATGGAGATCTTTATAAACAGTCAGGCATGCATTTTCAAGTGAAAATCTTTAGAAAAAGAAGATCCAAGAAGGATATACAAGAGATGGCTCAAAGAAAAAAACTGGTTCCTCTGGGCATGCATGGTAGAACTAATAAAAAAGAAAAATATAAATTTAAAGCTTACAAAAGTCAAAGCACACTCAAATGATCCTTATAATAAAGAAGCAAATACCTTAGCTAAAGAAACTCTAAAATTTCTACCAATTGAATAGAAAGATTACACCTTATATAAAATTATTACTAAAATCAAGTGACAAGGAATGACTCTAGATGATCTAATTAAACAGTTTATTAAAAATATTAATAATAAGACAACAGCCTATCAGTGGACACAACAAAATAGAACTGAGAAAAAATGAAGTTAGCAGATTTCAGAATATCAAACTCATACATGGAATCTAGTATAGAAAAGAGTTAAAGATAGGCACATGTGGGATACATTTTTTAAACAATCCCAACAAAGAAGCTTTTTAATTAAACTGGTCAATTACGAGCTATCTATACTAAGTAAGTTGGCTATAAGAAGACTGGATTTATATAAACAAATGAGATGTATTGCATATAGCCAACAAAATGAAACTATAGAACATTTGTTAGAATGCTCAATCTATAAAAACCAACTAAATAAGGTATGAAATAAAGTAATAGATGGAATTATTAAAAAGAGCTACTAGAGAAAAGAAAAAGAGAGGCAGAAGAAAAAAATCCTAGGTTAATTATTAATGACTGAGAAGAAATAGGAGAATTTGACAAGTGGATCTCTAAAGTAGTAGAACAGGCTTCTAAAACTAGTCAAGATATACCAAGTTTCTGTACTAGCCTTATAAGAGCAGATATTATTCTAGAAATGGCAGATCTAAAATGTCAAGATAAACGCATAGGAAAAATAGCAAGAAAATGGATAATAAAAATATAAAGAAGAGTCTGTAATCTAGTCCGAAAAAAAGTCTAGAACAAGAAATATGAAAAGGTAATTGAGTGGAAAAAAATATAAAGAATTGATAGAAAGAATAAGACAAGAAGACCTTCACATCTTTCAAGTCGGAAAACTATACTCCTAAAGAAAAAAGAGCTGCTACCTGAAGAAGAAAACCTTGAAAATGAAGGTCTTCAAAAAATTTTAACAAGAAAAGTAGAGTATGAAATGAAATAGATGTGTTTTAAGCTCTGTTAGAACCTTGTAGAGTAATCTGTAGTAGTGATCTGCAAGCAATGAAGTTAACAGTTGGAAGGATCTTTACCTAAATCATTAATGGAGTGATAAATCACTTCTGAAGTTGCACTTAGAGTTTTAATAATTCTTTAAAATAGAGACAAGTGAGTTAGGTAGAGACTTAGCTTTAGTGATACATTCTCTAATATAAAGTATATATATGTTTAATAAAACATACATATCTAGCCTGATAGAGAAAAAAAAAAAATTAATTTAATATTTTTTTGCTGATATTTAAAATATCTGAACAAAAAAAATCAATTGGATATGCTTTTTTTAGAGAATAGCTATTTTCATTTTTACAACTTTCACAACCTTTCTTATTATTGTATACTTCCTTTATATTAACTGTATTAAAAATAATAACAGTTCATTCAATAACACCTGATGTCAAATCCTTAATCCCTATTATGATAGCTGAATTGCTTAGAAGAAGGTCATTTATTGTCTTACTTGAAATATTGGCATCTGAAGTTGTATGATTATTAATGTAGAAGTTGAATTGTCACCCAAAACTCAAATTAAAAAGGATATTAAAAATGATTAAAATTAAATTATTACTGAATTATTAAAATTTATTTTTATTAATCAACTGATTTATTTAAAAAATGAAGAATTATATATATAGGTTGAAAAACTAAAAAGAGGATAAAATAATTAGATCTAATAGAATATATTAACAACAAATTTTTTTAAAGAATCAAAATAATAAAAAAATAAAATAGAATTTTAAAAAAGAAAATTGATTGACTTAAATCTATAGAATTTGAATTTAATTCTATAGTAATTGTAGAATCTAGAGCAAATAATATATTAGAATCTAAAAATTTGTCAAGTTTAGAAAAGTATTAAAGAATTTAACTTAAGTGAAGTAGTAAAGAGGTAAAACTAGTTATCAAAGATGAGTCAAAACTAGAAGAAATAAAAGTAGAAATAAAGGCCTTAATGAAAACTATTCTTGATATGAATAAAAAAATACTACAAAAGTTAATATTCAAATTAATAAAATCCATGGTTTCATATTTTAATCCCTTATAAAAACAAATAAATAAATAGTTAAGTATTTTATATTACTATTAGAGAGGAAGATATCAGAAGGCAGAAACTGAAAAATTGAAAATGAACAATCATTATTTACATGCAAATAACTGATTAAACAAAGTAAGATTAATAATATTATGCATTTATACTATCTTCAAGTATTAATTTTAATAAATAATTAAGAAAAGAATATGAATAATTGAAAGCACATAGTCAGTTATTAAACAAAAATCTAAGAAAGTTATTAAATATCCAAATAAATTAACTAATATAATTAAAGAAACAAAGATTAATTTATTTAAAAAAAGTAAGACTAATTTGGAAAACTTTATCAAAGAAGAATAAATATATATAATTGATTAACATTCCAAAGAGATATTTTTCAGCAAAATATTTTATATCAAATAATTATAATATTACTTATAGTTAAAGAATTTGTTGAAATATTTGGATAAATATTTGAAATCAATTCAAGTGTTTTAGTTAACTTGTAAATAATATTGTGAAATTTATATTTCTATAATATAATACCACCAAAAGGCTTGTCAAATTGGATATATAGTTTGGAAGAAATCTTAAAATATGAATAAGAAAAAGAAATAGGAAAGGATAAAAAATAGATAATTAAATTCAAAAAATGAAAAATTACTGAATATAAGAAATTATTAATATATTTAAAAGATAAGGAACAAGTTGGAGAAAGTATATGAATAGACAAAATTCAGAGTAGTTAGGTTAGAAAAAAAAAAGTAAAAAATCTCAAAAAATATTTGACAAGATAAAATCAATTGAGGCTAGTTTTAAAAGAGTCAAGTAAAAATCTTTAAAGAGAAAAAAAAGTAAGTAAAAGAAGCGAAAGAGAAGGAAAAGGAAAGTAACAAATAATTTAATCAATTGATTTTATAATTTTTTAATAAATTTTATAAAATTTGTTAAATTTCTTAAATATTTATCGAATTTCAATATTGGATTTGTAACTTTTGTCAAATTTTTTGTTGCAATAATTTTTTTATTAAATTTTTTGTTGCAATATTAATTTTTTGCTAAATTTTTTGCTGCAATAATTTTCTTGCTAAATTTTTTATTACAGATCAAATTTTTTGTTGAATTTTTTGTCACAATATCAAATTTTTTTGTCAGATTTTGTACTGAATTTTTTTATCATAATATGCTGAAATTTTTTTGTCAATTTTTTGCTAATATTTTTTATATATTTTGTTAAATTCAATAATAATTCAATAGCCAAATGATATAATTTCAACTAGTAATAATCCCAACTAAAAAATCCAATATGAAAAGATATTTATATGTTAGTTTTAACTTGAATATCCTAACCTAATATAAAATAAAATCTAAATAATCAGGAACCAGATGAAGTGGATTTTTCTAATATCATATATGATAAAAAAGAAATTGTACTAATAACTCTAAGATAAGTTTTTAAGGTTAAGTAAATAAAATGATCAGAATCTTTTTAATTAATTGAACTTTTTATGGATTCTATACTTCAACCTTTCCTTTGTAACATAGCAAGACTTGAACTGAATCAGGTTAAGTGATTTAAACTAGTGATAGAAATTCTTTTTTTATAGATCTCTCTATGTATATGAATTCTTCTACTTGAAGTTTAAAATGGATATATTGCTAAATACAAAAAGTAATAAAGTAATGTTAATCTATATGTAGCATCATATATAGAAACATTTATATATATTACTATATCTTAATTGATTAATAAAGTATGAGTATATTCACCTTAATAAAGCACACATAACTAGCTTGACAGAAGGTTAAAAAAAAAAAAAAAAGTATGAGTATATGCATCTCGTTCTTAAAAAAAATAATAATAATGATTTATGTATGGTATTTAATTGATTAATAAACTAGGGTCTAGCATGGCTACGGATATTGTAAAAAAATAAAATAAAATTTATCAAAAAATAAAAAAAAACTTAGAAATCATAATTTTTTATAATAGATAAGTTAATTTTGAGAATCACTATATACCTATATTTTATATTTTTCTTCACGAAAATCTATTTGATAAACGAACTGGTGTCATTGTGTCATTTCTATATTGTACAAAGTTGCACGGGGTTTGTTACACAGCCCGACAAATGCTTTTTTGTAAATATGGCACATGTTTTCAAATTGTTACGTAGTTGCCACCGTCGTTTCAACCTGAAAACAGAATCGCCTTGGTTTCTTTTCATCAGTTACATTCCCCATGGACGGACAGAACGATTCTGTCCTGAACTGGGACATAAATAAAGTACACTCTTGGCTTTCTTCTCTTGGTTTCCCCCAGTATGAATTGCAAATAAAAGGTGTGATTGTCATGAATCTAGTTGCATTTTTTGATTACACTTTACTGAGTTTAGAGGATTTATATTTCAGAGCAAAGCATAAGCGGACCAATACTGGTTCACTTGGACCATTCGGCACTTAAGGAACTTGGGGTTCATTCGGTTGGTCATCGAGTTACCATACTGAAAGCTGTCTATCTTCTTAAGATACAACACAATGTGCCAATAGAATTAGAAGACTACGTTCCCCCATGTCAGTAAGCACAAATTACTACCTCTGTTCAACTCTCGAATATGACTATTTATTAAAAATTACTCTTTGATTTTAAATAGCCGCAGAATTTGAAAGCGTATTTATATTTGTTAGAATTCGTCGTTATCAAGTCAAGGTAGACTACCAGTAACGATGATGATTAAAATTTTTCTTAGGCAATTGCTTTGAATGGAATTCCGGACCTTCGTAGATTTGAAAGCGCAATCCAAGAAAGAGGTACGTATTTTCGTTACTGTGATCGTGCCGAATTTAATTTATTATAATTCATTGACAAAAATATACAAAATATATAGACGCACTAATTTCGCAATTATCGAAGGAAGTGCAAAGGCTATCGTCTGACTTGGCAAAACTACGCGAGGAATTAGTACCAATTTGGAAGATGTTCAGGGAAAACAAGGTACTTAAGGAATAGATATAAATATCCTTCGTGATTGACAGATTCAGATCAATATGCTCGAATTTTATAATAAAAATTATAGCCGTTGCCCGAGCCGGATCGGAATGATAATCTTTCTGTACAAGTTCCTACCATAAATGTAAGACCTCCGTACACATCGGAATATTCGAGCGCGCCACCTTCTCCTCGTTCGCCACGTGATGTCAACCACCGTCATAATCGTCATGAGGTTGACGTGAGTTATCTTTGAAATTCTTTCTCTGGATATTATTATCAAGAATTCTAACTTTTTTGGAACACAATAGTCGAAGCAATCTTTTCATCAACCTCTCAACAGTGATCATTCTGGAACCTTTAGGATCGCCAATCGAGAGGCGGAGTACAAGAGCTTTCGTGTTGCACTTGAAGACCCATGTTATAAAGTTTTACCTGCTGCACTTAAAAAATATAAGATTACGGATGACTGGCGGAAATATGCATTATTTATTTGCTACGGTGGTCCAGGTACTATATACATGTCAAAAAATGATTGGGGATTGCTGTAGATTCTTGTGGTGAGATGAGGAAAGAGGAATGAGCATACAGGTTTTTTTTTTTTTACATCGAGCCACGAAGATAATTTTTAATTTACGGCAGTTCCCTGGCGTTCAAACTCATTTCATAATCAATATTCTAAAAACCTACATATCTATATATGCATCTGTTTTCTAATTACTAACAGATCATCCGACAGAACGTTGTCTGAGTTACGACGAAAAACCTCTGTTATTATTCCAAAAGTTAAAGGAGGCAAATCAAAATCCAGTTTTCACATTAAAAAACATTAAAGATATTAAGTCACCAGTGTCAACGGCAGAAGAGATCATCAATTCCCTGAGGCTAAACCGACGTACGACACAATTTTTGAACAAAGATTTGCCCCCAGCACCGAATGAGTATTCACGACTTCCTCAGCAAACCGCTGTTTACGATCCACAGTATTCAGATGATATGCTGGCAGAAAATAACGGGACAGCCGTTGCAATTTATCCATATGTCCCGGAACTTGAAGATGAATTGAATGTTACAGTGGGAGATGTTTTTAAAATTAAAAGGAGATCCGGAGGTTGGTGCTTTGTTGAGAAGGATGAACAAGTCGGATGGGTGCCTGCGAATTTCTTGCTCGAAACGAATATTAATGGGAGTGACATTATGGACAATGACAATCCTTATGTGGGCAGAGGAACGGCTTTGATTGATTATGAAAGAAATACTGACGAAGAGCTTAGCATGAAAAAGGATGATGCCCTTCGCATTTACAAAAAACAGGATTATTGGTTATATTGTGAGATAAATAACGAACGTGGGTGGGTGCCTAGTTGGTACGTCAGGGTAGATAAAGATGTTAAGGAGGTGATGGACGACGACGAAAGTGAGGTAAATTTTAACGAGAGCCAATTCGATATTTCTAAGGCTTTTTTTTTTTTCTTCAATATTTTCATATTGTTTTGTCTTTTAGGATGCAACATGATTTTCAAAGGCAATGCTGATTGAGTTGCTTTTAATATTCTTTTATTCTTTTATGCACATTCGAACCAGGTGGATCCCACGAGGTAAATAGGTTTCATGAATTGAATTTGTGGGTGGCCGTGATCTGGGATTTACATCTATTTTGGTATTTCTAGTCCAAGAAGACTGCCCAACCACTCCGGCTACGATAGTGGACAGCGTTCTCCTTACACCATTCAAAATCCGATGGGAACGTCAAGAGGTCACGACTATCCGATGGCTTACCATTTTGGAGATAGTTTCTTATGAGCTATACAAACAACATCTATTTTGATTCAAACCGATTTTTGTACCTCTACAATAAGAACAATATCTTCATTGTCTTTTTGTTCGATGTCCTGCCCTGAACCAGAGGTTAGAGGCGTGGGTAAGGTTATGTTGAATTAAGAATAACTCGTGTTTACGGAATGTTACATTTTTCTTTCATTTTCTCTTTTCTTATGCTAACCATTAGAACACATATGCTGTAATGCAAGATATTTAAGTTTCGTATTTTTGTGGTTTTGTGATATTTATTATTAATGATGGAAAGAATTCTATTTGAAGGATTGTTTGTGTACATATCAAGTTTTGAGTTTGTATTGGTTTTTGTATTCTATTTATTTATTTTTTAATTTTTTTTTTTTTTTTAAACGCTTCTGTACAATACAAAAACATACCACACGATAATCGAAAAAACAACCGTCAATACCTGTCACAAATACAAATAAATTCTGTAAAACATTTTGTGCGAGCGAAGTATCAAATCGTACCGTCACGTGATATGACTGAGGTTACGTCACCAATCCCATAAATCACACCTTGAAAAATTGGGAATAAATGACGATTCCCCAATTTCCGGTTCTTCACGTTCGTGTCCAGAGAGAGCTTGAACCAATGATGAGGCAAAACTGAATTGGAGCAATGCTGTTAACCTGGATTGTCTTTAATTTTTGGAACACTCTTCCATGATCAAAGTTAGGTGAACGCGCGCAAAAATTGGGGACGTGGTGGATTCATATAAAATGATGGGGGGGGGTTTTATCAGAAAAAGAGACGGCATTCGCAATAGGGGTATCGAGACACGTGTGTTCCTTTACCCGAATGACCTGATGCGTGTTGGTGTCTCGTGAGAAGGGCTTTTTTTTTTTTTTTTTTTTAGAATTAAGAATGGTATGGTATCAATTCTGAAAATGGTTTTATTAGATACTCTATGATTTTTTTTTTTTTACTTTTGAGCGAAGGGCGTGTGATGTAACACACCTTCACATCACGAATCTGCGGAATATCTCTGTAAAAAGACCTCAAGCCAAAAATCCGCATCTATAAAACGATCGCTTTTATATCAATATTTGATTTCATTTAGGTAAAAATTTGCGATGCGACGAAAAGAAATCATAATGCAAATTCCTGCATTCACATTAGTTTAACTGTCCTTTATACGTCGATGTATTGTCATACGCTCAGTCATTTAATATTACCCTAACATTAGTCAGATTTATACTTGCACAATAAATACCAAATAACGTGAATACGTTATCCTAGCTTTTTTTCTTTTCTTTTTTTTTTTTTTTTGTCGAAATTCTTGAAAAACGATGAACGATGACGAAGCCCTTTCAGGCTCTTTCTTTGAGCCGGTGGTGTTTCAGGCACATTCTGATATACCCGATACTCCGATTGTCGGGGAAAGCCTCTCTTTCATGACGGATTCGTTGGACATGAACCTGAATATCGGCGGTAACCCGTGGGATCCTCCTTCGGCATCGGGCGTCGATGTCGCAAACATTTTGTGTAAGCCTTGCGAATCGCTTCGCGGAGTCACCTTGTCTAGTTTTATTGACCCACCATTTTCCTTTTCAGCTGATGTTTCCCTGCCCGAAATATACACGACGGCCTTTACTTTAGCTTCGCCAGTTGTAGGAAGGGTTTCTATTTCCGCTTTAAATAAAATTTTAAGCGTCAGCGGACTTCCTCACGCGACGATAGAAAAAGTATTTCATGTTCCGACTTAATAATAATAAAGTTTTGCTGGAGCCTCTAGAAAAATTTACTAAAATCATGAAAGATTTTAAATTTGGCTGCACCAGCCAGCAGTAATAGCACTCGTGTTAACCGAGGGGAATTTAATGTCGCACTTGCGTTGGTAGGATTAGCACAGAAAAATATGGGTAAAATTAACATGAAATTAACGAAAGTCGAGATTTTGACTTGGAAAAAGAATTAACATTCCAATGACATTGAATAGATGTCTCGATAGAAACATTAACAGAGCGAAAACACGGTATTCATTTTGTGAATTCTTCCAACCAGATTAACCCAATCCAACCCAATCCAACTCATTTTTATCGTGTAGACCTTCCGGAACCAATTTTGACGAATTTAGAGAGTATCAACTTTAACCGAAGTTTGAGCTTTTCTACGATTTCGCACCCACCACCCATCACCGCTCTGCAGGCTGACGATCCGTGGGCCGCACCTTCGGCAAATGGTGAGTATACAAATTCCGCATTCACGGAAGGTCCAGTACCCGGATTTCCACCCTCAACCGGAATCGTTGCGCCACCTATTACCAGCGGTGCCCTACCTCGTGAAGATGAATTCCAGTGGTTCCTAGACACGGATGTAATTACGGTAAAGTTTGCACCCGAAAGAGAAGGATTCCTTTTCAAACACGTGAATTACATTGTAGAATCTCAGGTAATGATAGGAATGTTTGATTAACTTACTTTATTCTCGTTATACATAAGGTTAAATTGCATTTTTCATTTTTGAAAAAAAAAAAAAAAAAGCGACGTGAAACGAAAGTGATTAGAAGATATAGTGATTTTTGGTGGCTGATGGAATGTCTGGTGAAAAAATACCCGTACCGAATTCTACCTGCTCTTCCGCCGAAAAAGATCGGAGGTATGGTTTATCTTTCAGTCTTTGACTGATCGTTTGTATAGATTAGTTGAGTAACGTTGCGGTCTTCTTATCCAGTCAACGGATTCTATTTCACAGTCGACGAATCATTCCTGGAGAAACGGCGGAAGGGGTTGACCAGATTCTTAAATTTCATTGCAAGACATCCCGTTCTGAAGGATGACGAACTGGTAGAGATATTTCTCAAAGAGTCAACGGTAAATATCTCAAAATTTGATATTTTTATTTCCAAAATTACGAATGATGATTGAATTTTGGAACATGCAGGAGATAGCGGTTTGGCGTAAAAACAACACGCCCGATTTGGAAGAGGAATACCTGAAGAAACAAATTACCCCAGAAATGGAGCAGCGTATACCAGCTAACCTGGATGAAAGGTTAGAAAAGGTCATAAAAAAGTTGGATGACGGTATCGACCATTATCGAAATATGTGCAATTTGATGGAGCGCATCGCTCGTCGTCAAGAAGGTCAGTTCATTTTGACGCGTCACCGATGCCGGATTGAATACTTAAATTCTATATTATATTGAAGGAATGGCAACTGATTATATGAGATACAGCCTGGCGATGAAGTAGGTATAATAGTTACCTGAACTTCCCCGTAATGACCCCACTAACTTCATACGCTTTGATCTCAGTTCAATGATCGAGAAAGAAAAAGGTTGTTATGTTGCCGATTGTTATAACTGCAATCAGGTGATTAACGGCCTAGAGCAGGTATCAAGTCACTTTCAAAAGACGAGTTCTATCCTGGAAGATATGCTGAGTCGCTTTATCAACGATGACTAATTTGATTATTTTCGGCGAGATTATTACTACATTTGTTGTTTAAAATGCGATAAAGTCTACAGCTACACTTGAAACCGTGTTGGAAAACTTGAAACGACATCGAGATCTGCTCGTATCATTCCGAGTACGTGAGAATATTCTTTTCCTATAATTCATTCGTCATATATATACTGATGAATACGATTCCTCCTCGACACGTTTTAGGAGACATTCGAGAGAAGGGATAGATTGGCTGTGGATATGACTGAAAGTCTTAACAGTAGAATAGCTGCCAATCAAGCGAAGCTCACACCATTGACGGGAAAGGAAGGAACGGATCCGGAAGTGGAAAGACTGAGCACGGCAATAAAAAAGGTAGATCACCAGGATATTTACGTTGGAATTATTGACTTCTCGTTTACATTATATCTAATCCACAAAATCTAGGATCAAGAAGACATTCAACATCAACGAATGCGAAAAATCTTTGTACGTTATTGTCTGCACGCAGAGCTGAGCTTGTTTCACAAAAGCTCTGCCTTCATCTCCCTCCTGTATCAGAACTTTGTGAATGATCAGATCAAATTTTCTCAGCAATTTTATGAAAATTGGAAGTCGTTAAGCCCTAAGGTTTATGATATGCCTATTGAGACGAGCGGGTTTGGTTAAAGTTAACTTTTTGGCTTTCGATTTAGTAATTTTCTTTTTTTTTAAAAAAAAAAAAAAAAAAAAAAAAAAAAAGCATGGATTAGGGGTGTATGGTATAGACATTTGCGGTGTATATTTTTATTGAAATCTTTCTTTCTTTTTTTTTTTTTTCCAACACATTTTTCTAGCATTTGCAAACTCTTTAGTACTGTCTATTTATTCCTAGTTTAAGGTTGTCGTTTTTCTACTCTCGACAGGCCATTTTCCGTTGCACGCAAAAATTCGTTTTCGCTAAAGCTTGTTATTATGTAATAACGTTTTCTTACAACCAATATTTACGTGTCATGTGATATTTTTGTGTCAAAATTGTTAGTTATTTCCATATTAGTCTAATGACAAGTTAAAGATTTGAATTATATCAAATAAGCAAAGATCGAACCAGTAAATCAAAATTTAATCAAAATCAACTGATTTTATTTTCTTATATATTCTTGTAAAGACATGAGCAGTGATAATTCTGTAGCTGACAACCAAATAACCTCTGCCTTTTCACAGGTTCAATCCTCGGTTTCAGATTTAGATAGTTATGAGTTCGGCAAGGTAGAAGCGGTTCTTGACATATTGCTTTCTCAGCCATTGAGTGAGATAGCCGCGGGGCTTGGGCCGATAGAACGTGCGAGACTATATACGTTATATGCATATTGTTGCAATTCCCTTTCCTCCTGTAAGCAATAATGGTCGTAACTAATCATGCTTAAAACAATCTCTAAGGCTGGTTTGTCAATTGACAGTGTACTTGGAAGTTAATGGCGAACCTGAGCCAAAAGAACTCAATTTTCAGACGGTTCGCAATCTAGATCAAACAGATTACTTGGTGTTGATGCCGTATGCAATGCTTTAATAATTTATGTCGGAAAATTTAACATAACATAAAGACCCGTGTCCAAGAAATTTCGGATAAAATTTCACATACACTTAACCCTCCACACCCTACCATGGCAATTGACCGAAAAGCAGCCGCACGTTTCATTAAGCACAGTCTGCCAACCACAAAGGAACCTGATCCAAAGGAGAATCGATCATGTATGGATTAATAGTATTGATCAGAGAAAAATTTCGAGATTCCTTTAATAATTCATTGTTCCCTTTGGTCCGTTATTGGAATAGCTTCAAATCCGATGCACATCCGATTTGATGATAATGGGAACGAACTAGACAGTAGTAGTAGTTCTCAGATGCAAAAGTCACCACGCAATGAAAGAGGCTCGCGAGATGGAAATCTTGTTCATAGGAATGAATCATACTATAATCGTGGTCGAGAACACGAGCGAGATCGAGATCGGGATCGCGATCGTGGAGAAGAACGTAAAAAAACAAATTTATCGATATTTCGCTTTCCCAAAGTGTTATCTTTAAAAAAAAAATGATGCATTGAAGGAAGGGGTAATCGTTTGTTATTCTACTTTCTCTTATATATAATAATTCATGTCTTATTTATTTTAGGATCGCGAAAATTCAAAAGGGACCGCAGTGACCCAGAAACTAAAAGAAGGTATTAGTGAACATACTTAAGCACCGAGTGCAAATTAAATAAGTTTTGCCAATTTATTTGGATTGAGGCAGTTATTATGGTTAAAGAATACACATATTCGAATATTGACATGATTTTCTAAAAAAAAAAAAATTAAAAAAGTGATGTACAATGATTCTTAATATAATAACAATACAAATTTTAAATAAATAATTGAGTAATCTATTATTTTAACAATATGTTTGGAAAGATAATTTATTTATGGAATGATTTATATAAATTATATAAATTACCACTGTTATGAAGAATAAGCAATGATTAGTTATATAACATAGCTAAGAAGATTTTCGATGGTGGAATCTTACCGATTTATTTTGTTGCAAGTTGTTAAATCCTGTAGTATTGAAACCTTGCTGATTGGAAGGCTGTTGCCCAAGGCCGATGTTGGGCTGTACAGAAGGGGCGAAGGATTGTGCCCCCGATCCATAACCAGCGCTAGGAAGTATACCAGGGCCATAACCAGGGTTAGGCTGTATACCAGGGCCATAACCAGGGTTAGGCTGTATACCAGGGCCATAACCAGGGTTAGGCTGTATACCAGAGCCAGAGCCATAGCCAGGGTTAGGCTGTATACCAGAGCCATAATTAGGGTTAGGCTGTATACTTGGGCCATAACCAGGGTTAGATAGTATACCAGGGCTATAACCAGGGTTAGGTGGTGATATACGAGGGTCATAACCAAGGTTTTGTTGAACACCCATACCGGTATAACCACCTGTACCAGTTTGATTCCATGACGTATTAAGCCCACCGGGGTTTGAACCAACGTTATATCCACCTGAGTTAGAAGTAGCCTCAACAATTATTAGAAGGGTTGAAATTTAGCGTTGCAGTCATTTCTTAAATACTTACTCAGTTGATTAGGTGTCGGATTATCGAAAACACTCGGACCTTTGGGGTCCACTTGTTTAAATGCGGAATACTTGTCATCTGCAGTTATCATGAAAACATATAATGTATAATGTAATAGGTATGATTTTTTTCTCAAAAAATAAATAAATAAATAAATATATATATTATGCATTTCCTTAAAATTACCATTAATTCCGCTCATATTTTTCGGAGGAATATTAGGTCCAATTTGTCCGGATTTCATCGAAGCAAAAACAACTTTAGGGTCGAATACCGAAGTCTGAGGAGTATTTTGTTGTAGTTGCAAAGGATTCAACGGTGGTAGTTGATTTTGATTAAAGTTTGCGTCAAACCTATTATTATTCATACTAGGGGCGCTGTATCCTAAAGTCGTGACCCCTAGTTTTGTTTGTTTATAAACCGATCAATAATATCACCTATAAACTTACTTATCCATTACAAAATAAACACATACCAGGATTATTCCAAGTGGTAGCCGGTAAGTTTGTAGATACTTGAGAATTATTTATCGGGTTGTCAATATTGGTAATTCGAGATGTATTAAATTGTGAGGGAATTTCAGACTTGGCCGGAATTAACGGCGGTTGAAGAGCTGCATTAAGTGGGACGACAATATTTTGTGGTGGTGATAATGAAGTTGATAGTGATAGCGGAGCTTGTGATGGTAGTAGAGGTTGAGTATAAATAGGTGGGTGTAAATTCGTTTGCGAAGGTTGAAGGGATTGAACAGGAGGAACGGAAAGATCAGATTTCCAGATGGTGGAATTAAATTGATTAGGTATATTTGCATTTGTCACTGATTGCTGGGATAATAAAGGCGACACTGGAAGTTGACGAGATTGTGGTAGAGCTGGTGGGTTACTTTTTACGACTTGCGAATTCTGAGGAGCCACAGGGATAGGCGGCGGTGGTGGTGGTGGCGGTAGGGATGGGGATGGTGACTTAGATATGGGTTGAACAGCAGGTTCGGGTACCAGCACGGGAGTCGAATCGGAGGAGGTAACCCATGCGTCATCTTCAAATTTGTCTGTAGTAGGTTTGGTTGACGAAGTTGACGGTTTAAATGCATCGTCAAGTTTCTCTTTTGATATCATCAGGTTACTCGAGTCAATTTGAATTGGTGCCGTCTTTGAAGGTGATGGACGTGTTTTTTTCGTGTTATTTTTTAATACTCCATTGTCCTCAGAAAATAATGAAGACGCATTTTTCGGAGGAGTTTTCTTGTCATCTTTTTGAATAATCGAATCCAAATTACTATATAGATCAGCAGCCTTTGGTATTGTTCTTCCTTCGCTGCGTGCTTTCCGGTTTTCTTCCTCTTGAAGTTCCCTGGCAATCTGTTCATCACGTTTCTCTTGCATCCTACGATGAATCTCTTCATTCTGAACGTATTGTTGAGAATACTAATCTTTAGTAATTCCATGGAAATGATAAATACATGCTTTCATGCGTACCTGAATCTTCACGGCGTAAGCATGATCGTTCTCTTCAGTTTCCTTATCAGGAATAATACTGGTGGTACCAAAACTTACGTTTCTCTTTTTCGGAGGGTTATACTTTTCGGAAATGTATCTTTTTATTCGAATTATGTCTCCAACTCGCACACCTAACCCTTTCATCAATTCATCATCGAGGTCTGGAATTGTGCTTTCGTCCAACTTTTCTTCGATGAACGATTTAGCATATTCAAAAGCATCCTGATGTGCAATGTCGGCCTTGAGAAAGAAGTCGTACCAATCATAGTCCGCCTTGCGACTGTTTGTTAAGGTTGCTTTTCCTTTATGTGCAGCAGCAATAGCAGCCAAAGGGATATCATCGGTTTTATCGTCAAACTTTTCTCCTGTAACCTCCTCTAGATATGCAAGATCTTTCTTGCTCATTCTCTCAACGGGCACTGCAATCTTAACACCATTAATTTTGTGAAGATGAACTTTGCCGTCAATGTATTGAAGAAATTGCGCTTCGACCTTGAAAGCGCCGGTTCGATCTGACCAAGTTCTTATTTTTGACGGATTGGGCACTTCCAAATAAAACAGCGGAAGAGTAAGACGTTTAGCTTAAATCTGAATTCTCCTCAGTAACAATAACGGTAATAATAGAATAATAATCCACATACTAGATTTGGATTGTAATTGCGCTTGATTGTCAGGAGTCTGAACATTCTTTGTGAGTTCGTCATCTGTTGATACGTGTTATGCGTTCATTGAATGATGTAAAATAGCGCATGCATATATACATACGGTATATATATGATTAATTGGTCATGTATTATAACGCAAATTTTTAAGAGTGTAATATAACCTGAAGGTGAGTCCGACCGGGCAGGTGGCCGACCTATATATATTAAAATTTTATTGTAAGAATGTTCGAAAAAATGTTACACAATGACAATATCAAAACGATCATACTTGGCAAAGCCGGCGGTGTTGGTGCCAGGGATACTTGTTTTTGCTTTTTCTCTTCCTGCAGACGTCTTTCTTCATCTCGCCGTTTCCGCTCATTTTCTTCACGTTTGCGACGTTCTTCTTCCTTCCTTAATTTCTCTTCTTCCTTTCTTAATCTTTCCTCCTCCTTCCTTAATCTTTCCTCTTCCCTCCTTAGTCTCTCCTCTTCTTTTCTTTGCCTCTCTTCTTCCAGTTTAGACCGCCGTTGCTCTTCAAGTTTTGAACTCAGTTCTGCTGAATCGTCAGCGACTTCTGTATTCTCCTCACCTATCTATTCAAAAATTTACGTTTAAAACGGTCTGAATATTTTTCGTGGATTTTTGCGGTTCACATACTCACTTTAACGTAAGTGGAGGGTACAACACCTTCCTCGTCACCTTTACGGATTTTCCACCAATCTTGGCTACTAACGTCGTCTATAACCCATAATCTATCCCCCTCGTAAATTGTTATCTCATCTTCTCCTTGGGCTTTAAAATAATACAAGGCAACACCGGATTTGGGTGGTGGTAAATCATCTTCATTGATCTCCTCTGTCTCGTCCTCAACATCAGGCTCCTGTTCCTCTTCCTGCGTCTCCTCATACGGAACCTCATCCTCCTCGTGCATTTGGTGAGATGAAGGTCGTGAAGGCGTTTCCAACTTAACCGTTGGCAATTCCAGGCTAGCCATGCTTTCCTGTACTTTATTGTAGATAGCCTCCGCGTCACCTTTACTTGTATGAAAATCGAACTTGGCCGCTTTTTCGCCACCAAACGAGATCAAGACACGTTTCTTTTCGTGCTTGATATCCGACAAATCGCTGATGCTCCATTGTTGAACTGGCGTCTTGTTTGAGATTGACAGATTATATTTATAATCGATTAATATATATATCTGCGCAAAAAAAGAAAGTAGAAGTGGAAGTCGTAATACCTTGTCCGATTCACTGGCATAATAAACTTTATCGCCACCTATACTCAAGGTACCTTTCTTCTTCTTTTTTTTCTTGTCGCCGGCGGAATATTCCTGTAAATATGATGAAATTTTAGATGCGCTGATTCTTTATGTTTCGGTTGTTTTTCTTTCAAATAAAAAAACATTTGGATTCGAAAAAAAAGTAGAATATAGAGATGTTTTATCAAAACAATACGTTACCGCAACTGACCATGTCTTTACTTCAAACGATCCTCCTGTTTTTTGGTGAGCAACTTTGCGAGCATACGCTTGCAACGGATCCACATATGCACCATTCGGTTCCGACGCGCTCTAAAGAATAAACTTAATTAAGTCCATTGATTAAGAAGAACAGGATCTTAACCTTAAGACCTAAGGAAATTGAGAAGAAGTAAGCTACCGATATGGCGTCAAATAAAGATTTCTGTTGTTTGTTCGATTGGCTTTCATCTTCATCACTGGAGACCTGCGTTTTGTAAAAATAAATGATAAATTATTCGATAATTGCCAACTAATTTCACCTTTACTAACCTCTTCAACATAAGGAGCTGGCACAAAACCAAAAACATCATTATGTTTAACCAAATACCAATCGGGATCATCCTTATCGTATAGGTATAATACGTCGTCTTCCTTGAACGTTAGCTCTTCATCCGACTGTGCGTTATAGTCATATATAGCCTTGAGCACCGCAGAATATTCAGCCTAAGAATAAGAATAAGAATTAGAGGTCGCCTTTGTGACAATCAAAATAAAGGAAATCTTTAAATGTAGGAATTTTCATGATCCTACCTCCTTTATATAATTACTTGGCACAACCCCGACTGGACCTTCCTCGTCTTCCTCTTTCGCAATTTTTAGTTTAGCTTTCCACCATTCATCGTCGTCGTTTTCCAGAATGTAGAGTACATCGTCTTCCTTAAAAGAGATCTCTTCAATGTCCTGGGCCGAATAGTCGTACTGAGCGATGCAAATTTTTTTATAGTTCAAGGGCATATCGGAAAGTTCAAAGTGTTATATGTTAAATGAATAAAAAACCGAGTGATCATCTGTTATATTTGCTACATATTACGTGACGGTGAGGGTCCTATCAAAAGTTGCAGATCTTGTTATACATTGTTCATGGTTCACGTGATTACAAGCATACATTCTTACATGAAAAGATTAATGGTCTAGCCTATTCCGGCGTGAAAGTCTATCAACTCTAAAAACCTGTTGAAACCTGTATAAATGATGAAATGCCAAGTTTAGAAGATACGTGGCTTACGGATTACAAGGAAATAATTTAATTCCTCCATGTGAGGTGTGAAAATAATTAAATTAAAGATATTAATTAACATTCCAACCAAACTTACTTTTTATCACAAAAAAAGAAAAAAAAAAAATTACAACCATACATGTGATACACGTAATTGACGCACGAAATTGACCAATCGAATTTAGTAACGTTTAAAAACTCGAACGTATCTGTTTCACTTGTTGGTCTTGTCTTTATCCTTCGCGCACCCCAATATACCGCCTAAAAAAAAAAAAAAATAAAAAGAAAAAAAAAAAATATGCTTTGTTAATTGAATTTTACACCATTTGCGCCTTTTAAACAATAATTCACCAAAAATGCTGTCCACCGCAGCCTCCTTGACGTTAACAACTGTGATCTTGTTATCCTTGGTAATAATCTTCAACACCGTACACGATCCGTTGTCGGCTTCGGTCGGATTTTCGCTGCTCGGTTGTGCGATAACGTGGAAACTTGTACCCGCGCTTAAGGAAAGCTTCGTTAAGGCCGGTTTGGTTGGAAAGGATGTTAACAAGATTAACAAAGTTGATATGTAAAGTATATATTTATTGTTCCCTTGATCTCACACGGGAATGTTTATCAGGCTACAATTGTCGCAATTGATGATACATCTTTTTTAATCCTCTCTCTTTCGCACAACGTAGACCAGAGAGCATGGGGGTTGTATGCGCAACAGTATACCTAGTATGTTTATTTTTGTTTATACCATTTCCTTTCATGGAATGGTTTACCGGCAAAGGAGAGATCTCAAGGACCAACGGATTTCATTCACCTACCTTTCCTCATCACAAGGTATTACCATCAATCTATTGGAGTTATCGGATGTGTTCACCACCAGCATTCATAAACCAAAGATGAAATTCTTATTTTCTATATTTATAACCAGTTGGGAGAATTCCTATCAGCATTGTTATCCCTACAGTCGATGACACTTCTCGGACTTTCGGATGACATGTTTGACATTCGATGGCGATATAAGCTGATGCTGCCGACCGTCGCCTCCATACCACTGTTGATGGTGTATTACGTAAATTTTGGCGAGACACACATCGTGGTGCCTATTCCGTTGAGATTTATGTTCGGAAGGATTGTCGACTTGGGTGGGCGTCTCTTCTCATGATCTAACCATGGTGGATTACGTGCTGCAAGAGTTTTTGACATCTTCCTTCTATTCGCAAAAAAAAAAAAAAAAAAATAGGATTCCTATATTACGTCTACATGAGCATGATGGCAGTGTTCTGTACAAACTCCATAAACATCTTAGCAGGGATAAATGGAGTAGAGATAGGACAATCGTTAATCATAGCATGTTCAATTGCGATCAATGATCTTTTGTTTCTACACGGAGCAGATCCCGCCGTTGAAGCGCATTTATTTTCGCTATACTTTATCATACCATTTATTGGTGTGTCCCTCGGGTTGATCATGCACAATTGGTAATTTCATCTCTGGAATTTTCACGAGAAACCTTGAATTTTGAATTTCGCGCATGGACTTACTTATCATTCGACCATCTCTATCTTGCGCAAAGGTATCCATCGAAGGTTTTTGTCGGTGATACCTATTGTTACTTTGCCGGAATGACGTTCGCCGTTGTTGGTATACTGGCCCATTTTAGCAAGACGATGTTGTTGTTTTTCATGCCACAAATATTTAACTTCATCTACTCCGTGCCACAATTATTCAAGTTGGTCGAGTGTCCGAGGCACAGGATGCCAAGGTAAATATGGTCAATGTTTATTATGGTTGTTAATTTTCCTTTGCCCACTACCTTCACTCACTCCGGATTTTTCTCACTCGAATTTTTAAAGGTTTAATCCCATAACGCAAAAATTGGAGTACAGCAGGACAAAAATAAAAAAACCTTTAAAATTTCCAACCCTTTTGTGCCTGAAGATCTTCTCGATACTTGGAATCGCTGAGATCAGGGACCTTGACTCCAATAAAACTAGAAAGGCCGAAAATGACAGCCACAAAAAGATCAATCATAATGATGTTAATGGTGCTGTGGTCGAAGGTGATGACGATGGTGACAACGAGAAAGCCGGTTACATTGAAGTCAATAATTTTACAATACTGAATTTATTACTATTAAAATTTGGGCCAATGCATGAGAGAGAACTGACTATTCTGATAATGGTGATACAGGTGTTGGCCAGCTGTCTGGCGTTTGTCATAAGGTATAGATTGGTACATTTTTTCTATGAGGTAATATGAAACCACCATTATTTCGGTGTCGGCGTTGTGAACAACGCCGTCGTCATTACAAAGTCTGACTTTCATTTGTTTAATGAGAAGGTTAGATAGTCTTTGGAATTTTCATCTTGTGCTAATACATATTAAACACATGTCTGAACAAAAAGGTTTCGACTTTAATATGCACGAAGATTCTGTTAGCAAAGGAAATGGCTTGACATCTCTGTTGCACAAAATGTCGTGAAATGTCAAGGGTAACACGAAGTCGTCCCCAGTTTGTTTTTTACTGCAAGGACATTATTACATAGGATCTGCCAATTTATGCATGCTTTCGAGGTTAAAAGTGATATTCCTGTTGTAATTTGACCAGAATTGTGAAAGAATGACGATGTCTCGATTGTATTCGTTGATCTCCTATTAGAATATCGGTCGTTACATAACAAATTGGTTTGATATATATGCATGTACATACAATACTGACCTGAATGCGACCATTCACATCCTCAAGCACGTCGTTAAGCTTTTTCTGTTACACGTTGAGGAAGTAAAGTGTTGCATGAAAAAAAAAGGTGCAGTATGAAGGTAAACGAACTCACAATGGGCATGTGAAAAATGAAACGGTTGGAGATATGGGAAAGACATGAGGATGACGAATTTGGTTGCTCATTTTTGAGCACGAAATGAAATTGAGAATTTGGTGGTCGATGTCATTTCAACCTACCACATTAGAAACGATTCTACCCAACAACATTTTTTGTTGTTCTTCGTGAGGGTTTTCCATGTTTTCGATTCCTATTTTGCCGCTTGCCATTTTTTAAATCCCGCATGCACAGAAATTTTCCAAGTAGTTTACAAAGTTGGACGCGATTTTTTGACCTTGGCAAATTGTACCACGATGCACAAACCACCTGACTTACTAAAATTAGTTACATTTTGAGTCTAAGCCACAAAGAAAGGAAAAAAAGTATAAATTCATCCGAAAAATGGACAAACCCTAAATGCAACCAACCAACCCATCTCACTTTCACTCCTCTTTCCAGAATAGGGTCACGTGCTCCAATAAATAGTTATAATGAAGCGGTCGTCAGGTCTAGGCACGTTGCCAACCAATAATCCGAATGTGACAAATCATTCGGCACCAATTAGGTAAAGGTTGGTTTCACACCTATGTAATTGACCATTTGTTATCCATTCCCAACTTTTTTTTTGGTGTCCCCTACTCGCAGAACACGAGTCGTGAATTATGCGAATGTTGAGTACGGACCTCCGAGTTTCGTGGACTGTATACCTTCGCTAACTGGCGGTAATTTCACAAACAAAGTCGAAAGAAATCCGCAACTTGATAAAAATGAGACGATGCACATGGACACGGAGCCTTCCATCTTTGAAACAGACGAGATAACACTTGTCGACATGGAACCTGTTACCCCAACACCACCTCCGTCATGCACGAACGACGATGAATCGATGTCACCGAATGTAGGCGAATCGTCATCGATTAGATCAGCAAGCCCTGAATTTTCTTTCGATCAATTCATGGATGTTGACGTTACACTTCCACCAAAGTTGGTGTTCGACGAAAATCAGGTTTGCCGGCATACTTACCTAAGATCTACCAATAAACACAATTAATCTGTTTTTCTCCACAGAAGAGTTTAGACGAATTACCGGTAGACTTTGACGAGCTATCGTCGCAGGAGTTACAAACGAGAATTCACGTAAGCATTTATGAAATTTTGTTTTTCCATACGCGACGCACGATATGCCATGATAATAGGTATGTTTTGTATAACAGGCTCTTCGTAAATTCTCAAAATACTTTCCAATCCTGAGTGGGGTTAGAAAATCGGAATTGCTTGAGCATCTACGGAACCTCCTACATAAGGATAAAGAAAAAGACGTCAAGGTCTGGTGATTCAACCGGATGTTATGTTATCTTTGTGTTCTCTTTCATCTAACTGTTGATCGATCGATTATTTCAGAGCCTTGTTATAACGCTCATGGAAAGACTTGCTCACGAGCCGCCCATCGATTTCATAAAAATACTCGACGATTTCATGAATCACGTGAGCATATATTTCATCGTCCATCGATTGTGGCTCCACGGACGATCGCCCTAATCATTATTTTTCTTTTTTTCCAAGATAAAATCCGATTCAACTGAAATTAAATGTTGCATATACAATTCTATTCGAAAGATTCTGAAGGTAGCGAATGACCAAGCATTTCACAATCGTCTTCCTCATTAATCTAAGCGAAAAATTTTTTTTTTTTTTTTTTTTTTTTTTTTTTTTTTTTTTTTTTTTTTTTTTTTTTTTTTTTTTTTTTTTTTTT